TCATAGGTAGGGGGTCCCTATTGCCGACGTCATGTCACGTGACACCCCCGAGACAAATAAGGAGAATTTCACCTGATTGGCCCATGACCCGGGACGGAAAGAGAATTTTTCTACTCTGCTGCTGATTGGTCAAAAAATCGTGCCCTGTTCTCACTGCTCACCTCTGACCATTACAGAAAATGGAGCTGTGCCAAAGGGCTCCCTGTACTATTCAGTCATAGCCTCATTAAAGTACTCCAAAAACTTCTATATTCACTTTCAACTGTGTTTCTTGGTTTGAATCTATTTAACATTCACCCTCTGATCCATTCATAAGTAGGGACCCTCAAATTGATACCGTAGTACTCTGGTTACACCCCCGGCCCAAATCGTGATTTTTGCTTATGCTATTAAATACTCCAAAAACGTTTATATGTCTTTCACCAGTGTATTTTTTGGTTTTCATCTATTGAACATTCATCCTCTGTACCTTTCATAAGTAGGGACCCCCTTCTTGATGCCTTAGACTCATCTTAAACGCAAGCGACAAATCGTAAAAAAAAACAGGTTAGGATAGGGCACCAGTTCCTCAGGTACACCCTGGGTGGTGGGCCCCGGGGATCCCTGGGGGGAACGGACCACCACCCCACCCCGCCAGCCAGCCAGGTGCGTGCCGACCGTGCCCTAACCTAACCACCTAAAATAAGTTTATGGTCGAATCCGCCCCCGAGACCCGAGTCGGCATGGAAGTGCCCAACCGTTTCTGAAAAATTTATTCCCCATGTGTCTCCTTTTACACTACTAAGGGCGATGCCGAGTGAAAAACTCGGCGCTAAGGAGTGACACGACCGAACTCTGACGATGGTCGAACCCTAACGAGATGGATTGATGTTTCCCTCATTTAGCATAAGATCGTTGAACATTCTGTGACATTGTCTTGCTATGATATTAAAAAGTTTACTGTTGTGCGTAGTGCCATACAGTCATAATGGCATAAGGTCAACCTGACATTATTTTTTCAAATGCTATTTGATCATCAGACAGACAGAAAGAAGTTTTCCACGTTACGTTACGTAATGTTGATACAACGTGATACAATAACTAAACAAGCATGCGCTAATATTTTATTTGTGTTTGGAATGTAATGGCTAAACATGGTTCACATTTCAATATTGTTATTTGGACATCAGACAGAAAGTTGTTCGTTACTCTTAAAAATGATATTTGGGCAAAGAACGATGTTACCATGTTGATCACGTTACGTTGCAAGGTTACAAAGAGCAACCTTGCCAAGGACCCCTCCACCCCCCCCCCAAAAAAAATAAATAAAAAATTGTCATACTGTACTAGAAATAAAGGCAGCTTGTATAAGTGACATACTGTCCTATCCTGTTTTATTCTGTTTTCGGTCCTCTGGCTTAATCTGTTAAGTTAGGAGATGACATTTTATATTAACCGTCTTCTTGACATTTTCAAACCTTAAGAGGGCGGCCTGCATAGTAATCCTAATGTCGAACATAACAATGAATCTCTAATCTCTAGAAAATAGATACCGAGTGCTTATATGTGTGTTGAGAGAGAGAGAGAGAGAGAGAGAGAGAGAGAGAGAGAGAGAGAGAGAGAGAGAGAGAGAGAGAGAGAGAGAGAGAGAGAGAGAGAGAGAGAGAGAGAGAGAGAGAGAGAGAGAGACAGACAGACAGACAGACAGACAGACAGACAGACAGACAGACAGACAGACAGACAGACAGACAGAGACTGAGAGAGAGAAACACACACAAGACAGTTTCATAAATATTCTCATTTTATAGCTATTTGCTTTCAGTGACAGAGGTTTTTGTTATAATAGTAATGGTGTCTGATGTTGATAGAGTTCTCTCTCAGAGTACCTGTTGCACCCCTGCTTTTCAACGGGGATATTCTGTACATCCTGCCATGTCTTCTGGTCTCATGTGATGATATTTCTGTGTGCAGGTTTGGGACCAGCCCCTCTAATATTTTCCACATGTAAATTATTATGTATCTCTCCCGCCTGCGCTCAAGAGAGTACAGATTTAGGCTCTTTAGTCGGTCCCAATAGTTTAGACATTTTACTGAGTGGATTCTAGCAGTAAAGGATCTCTGCACGCTCTCCAGGTCAGCAATTTCCCCAGCTTTGAAAGGGGCTGTCATTGTGCAGCAGTACTCCACTCTAGAGAGCACAAGCGTTTTGAAAAGTATCATCATCGGTATAGCATCTCTAGTGTGAAAAGCTTTTGTTATCCAACCTGTCATTTTTCTTGCAGTTGTGATGGCTACTTTATTGTGTTCTTTAAAGGTAAGGTCTTCCGATATGAGTACACCCAAATCCTTTACATTGCCTTTTCGTTCTATGTTATGATTTGCCTGAGTTTTGTACGTGGTTTCCGTTTTTATATTTTCATTTTTTCCATAGCGCATGAGCTGGAACTTATCTTCGTTAAACACCATATTATTTTCTGTAACCCATAGAAAGACCTGATCTACATCTGACTGAAGGTTTGCCGTGTCCTCTATGGTGCCTACTCTCATGAAGATCCTAGTGTCATCTGCAAAGGATGATACAGTGCTATAGGTTGTGTTCTTGTCTATGTCCGATATGAGGATGAGAAAAAGTACTGGAGCAAGCACAGTACCCTGGGGGATTGAGCTCTTCACGGTTGATGGGATGGATTTTATTTTGTTGACTATTACACATTGGGTTCTGTTGGTCAGGAAATTGTAGATCCATCTGCCTATTTTTCCGGTAATTCCTTTTGAACGCATTTTATGTGCAATAACACCATGGTCACATTTATTAAAAGCTTTTGCGAAATCTGTGTAAATTACATCGCGTTTTGTTTGTCTTCAATAGCATCTAATGCCATATCATAGTGGACCAGCAACTGCGACAGGCAAGAGCCCCCTGTTCTGAAATCATGTTGTCCGGGGTTATGGAAATGCTGTGATTCCATGTATTTTGTAATCTTACTTCTTAGCACTCTCTCAAAAATTTTTATGATGTGCGATGTTAGTGCTATCGGTCTGTAATTTTTTGCCTCTGCCTTATTTCCTCCTTTATGAAGTGGTACTATCTCTGCAGTTTTTAGTATATCAGGAATAACGCCAGTATCTAGGCTTTGTCTCCACAGAATGTGGAGGGCCTGCGATAGTGGTTTTTTACAGTTCTTTATGAATATGGAGTTCCAAGAATCCGGGCCTGGTGCAGAGTGCATAGGCATACTGTTTATGGCTTCTTCAAGCCATAAACCCCAGATGTGTGTATTTGTGAAGCTCCTGGGATTGATGTTAAATAATAATAAAATAATAAAAACTATATATAACGGGTTTACTTCTCCTAACTATATATTTATTTATTATTCTGTATAGCGAGAAATGCGTGTAAGCTGATAACTTGCGGATGTCAAGTGTGAGGGGAAAGGAGCGGTCGGCTATGGTGGGCGGTATCGCCTCATTTAGCCTCAGTTATGTGATAAACTTTACAGAGGCGAGCCGCCTCCAAAGGCTCGCTCCCCGCCAAAAATGTTTCCCTCTTTCAGTAAACACTAACCTACTGACTTTGACTGAGTTTCCTAAGTGATGTGTCATGTGGTGACACTTCTCAGATCTATGTGGCGGTATGTGGTCCTGGTCCGTACCACTCTAGAAGGTAAGGGAGGGGAGGGAGAGGGGTGCCCCAACCACCCTTTTTACAAAAACAGTACAGCTAAATTCTCACCCTCATTTGTACACACTATGTGGTCTGCTGGTATGTGGTAAGAACCTCATGTCTATGTGGCCATGTGATGCTGCTGAGTATGTACAGCTCTGGAAGCTACGTGAGGGAGTGTGGACTGAGGAAATGTGAAGTGAGTGGAATTGTCAATTGGTTGATTGATTGATGATGACTGTCACCTGCACGGGAGAGGGGTGAGGGGGAGGGGGATGCTGCGTCATATAACCCTACCTCCATAATGCGAACACAGACCACTCAAGCGTCTGGGCGCGACATGGAGGAGGCCTATCGCTCCTAGTACAGTTCTCCTACATTGCGTTATGTGGTCTGCCTGCTGCTATGTGCCGGTGTGAGCTGTGTCAGGAGTGAGTATGGTACGCCGTATTGCTGTCACTCCCAGCAGTGTGGTGGTGGTGTTGGTATGTGGTATGTCCTGCTATGTGGATGGAGGGGGGGAGAGGGGTGGGCAGGACTGACTATAGTAGAGGCTGATGATGACATTCGCAACAGTTATGCCTCAACCTTCGAAGAGGTGACCCCAAGTGGTCATGTGGTGTCACTTCTCAGAGCTATGTGGTAGGTATGACCCGCATATCCTTAGCGCTCTGGAAGCAGGGGGGGGGGATGCTGAACATCCCTCGAGTCTGCCATGAAAACTAATCATCTGCGGAGACCCACACTGAGAATTGGTAAAATATATACGCTACATAAAATAGACACCAGAATGACAGACCCGCGCTATCAGTCAAAGCTCCCCTCCCTTCCCCTACCCCTTAACCACTCATCTTAAGAGCCTGGTCTCCTACCCTCTCAGGGGTATGGGGGCCACCCCCCCTCCCTCCTCAACATATCCTTCCCAGGTAAGGAGTCCCCTCCCTCCTCTACATAGCCTACATACTCGCATCTATCTATCTGTTTATCCTCACACAGGATTAACTCTACGGCACATACTTATACATATTCATCTACTACTATTTCTCTCCTCTTCTCCTCTTCAACATTCCTCTTCCTTTACTCTCCCTACATGACCACATACCACCACATACCCCCCCACACAAACGCTCCAACATCACCCTCTGTCGAGCCCCCGTGCGACCGGACGCCACGCACTGCCACGCGCCATACACCCGGGGAACCCCCAGAACACCATGCGACTAGCTACCTGTGCACCACCTGTGCAGGTAAACCCATTGGGCTCACCTGCTCAGGTGCTGCGCGTGGGTCTAGCCGCACTTTACACTACTGATGTGCGCTGCTATGCTCACTGAGTGCGGGGTGGCTGCTGTGCTCACTAAGTGCGGGGTGGGCGCCGCTGTGCTGAGTGCAAGGTCGGCGCCGCTGTGCTCTCTAATGCGCGGTTGCTTCTGCTATGCTCCTTGAGTACGGGGTTGTCACTGCTGTGCTCACTTAGTGCAGGGTGGTCGTCGCTGTGCTCTCTGAGTGCAGGGTGGTCGCCACTGTGCTCACTGAGTGCAAAATGGGCGCTGCTATGCTCACTTTTTGCGGGGTGAGTGCTGTTGTGCTCACGTTTTGTGAGGTGGTTGCTGCTGTGCTCACTGAGTGCAGGGTGGGAGCTGCTGTGCTCACTTTTCGCGGGGTTGTCGCCGCTGTGCTCACTGAGTGCGTGGTGGGTGCTGCTACGCTCAATGAGTGCGGGGTGAATGCCGCAGTGCTCACCGAGTACGGGGTCGGCGCCGCTGTCTTCACTGTGTGCGGGGTGGGCGATGCTGTGCTCACTGAATGCGGGGTGGGCGTTGCTGGGCTCACTGAGTGCTCGGTGGTCGCCGCTGTACTCTCTGAGGGCGGGGTTGGCGCTGCTGGGCTCACTTTTTGCGGGGTGGGTGCTGCTGTCCTCACTGAGTGCTGGTGGGCACCGCATTGCTCACTGAGTGCAGTGTGGGCGCGATTGTGCTTACTGAGTGCGGGTTAGTCGCCGCTGTGCTCACGTTTTGCAGGGTGGGCAAAGCTGTGCTCGTTGAATGCTTTTTGGGCGCCGCTGTGCTCACTGAGGGCGGGGTCGGCGCCGCCATACTCCCTAAGATTGGGGTGGTCGCTGCTGTGCTCACTGAGTGCGGGGTGGGCGCTCTGTGCCCACTTACTGCTGGGTTGGCGCCGCTGTGATCACTGAGTGAGGGGTCGGTACCGCTGTGATCACTGAGTGAGGGGTCGGTACCGCTGTTCTCTCTCTGGGTGCAGGATAGTGCCGCTGTGCTCACTGAGTGTGACATAGGCGCTCCTGTGCTCACTGAGTGCGGGGTCGGCGCTGCTGTACTCACTGAGTGCGGGTTTGGTGCTGCTGTGGTCACTTATTGCGTTTTTTTTTATTATTATTATTATTTTCTACCACAGACGTGGCCACACATTTACAATGCTAACCAGCATATATACATTTTCTTCTGTCCTCCATGGACAGGGTTAGAGATGTGTTAATAATATAGTTCAGGAGTTTATTGAACAATCAACCACAGAAGGTGATTCGGTGCTTTTAAAATGCTAAGCTAACCTACATACGTAAATACATAGATACACAGATTTACGTATGCCCTACATAGAGTGTTCGATGTGTCTTTTACATAGTGTCATTAATGTGCATTTACAAATGTGAAATGTAATTCTGATCATCTTCCATATATACTTTATACACATACATATACATATACACACACACACATATACGTACATATACATATATACATACATATATACACACACATGCATTCACATACATTTGTCTCTTTTACTCTGACAGGGTGAGATAGCTGATAAAGAAACTAGTGTGCAATTAAGCACTTAATCACTGAAGGTGATTAAGGTGCTTTTACAAGCTCAGGTTATATAGTTACATCACATACATACATACATTCTATAATTGATACATTACATGGTTAATCTTGGGTACAAGTCTAATATATCATCAAGTGTTCCAGTACTCATATAGTAATTACACAGTTCAGCATGCCTTAGCCCAGGAGGGCGAAAGTCAGACAATATGGGACATTCTACAATATAATGTTCAAGTGAGTCTATGTTTTCTCTTTCACAAAGTTGACACATTGTGTACTCGACATTTGGGTTTTGAGAAAGCTGCCAGATACGTCTATATCCCAGGCGTATTCTGGCCACTATAACATCACATTGCCGGGTTCTTGTTCTAATAGTCCCATACACGATATCTATCATAATATTTATCTTTGTGAATTTGTTAGGTCTGTGAGATCTTCATTAGATATTTGTTTAAGTATTCTCTTTGTCAGTGCTAATGAAACACCCATATCAATTTCTACCACTGGTTTTCTACAGGCTGTCTTTGCAAGCATATCAACAGTGTCATGCCTTGAGATGCCAACATGTGATGGTATCCATAGGAATTTAATTTCATTCTGTTTTCTTTTCTAAATTTCTGTTTTTTTTTTAGCACAATGAAGGTTGTCACCGCTGTGCTCACTGAGTGCAGGGTGGTCACCGCTGTGTTCTCTGAGTGCAGGGTGGTCGCCGCTGTGCTCACTGAGTGCAAGGTGGGCGCTGCTTTGCTCACTTTTTGCGGGGTCGGTGCCGCTGTGCTCAATGAGTGCGGGGTGGGCGCTGCTGTGCGCACTGAGTGAGGGGTGGGTGCCGCTGTGCTCACTGAGTGCGCAATAGGCGCTACTGTGCTCATTGAGTGTGGGATGGGCGCAGCTATGCTCACTGAGTGCGGGGTTTTTCGAGGCTGTGCGAAATGGGCGCCATTGTGCTCACTGAGTGCGGATTAGGCGCTGCTGTCCTCACTGAGTGCGGGTTGAGCGCCGCTGTCCTCACTGAGTGCAGGGTGGGGGCTGCAGTGCTCACTTTTTGTGGGGTGGTTGCCGCTGTGCTGACCTAGTGTGGGGTGGGCGCCGCTGTGCTCAATGAGTGCTGGTAGGCACTGCGGTGCGCACTGAGTGCGGGGTGGGCGCTGCTGTGCTCACTCATTGCGGGATGCTCGCTGCTGTGGTCACAGAGTGCAGGATGGAGGTGCTGTGCTCACTTTTTGCGGGGTCGGCGCCACTGTCCTCACTGAGTGCGGGGTGGGCGATGCTGTGCTCACTGAGTGCGGGGTTGGCGCGTGAGGGCTCACGGCTATGCTCACTGAGTGCGGGGTTTTCGAGTCTGTGCTCGATGAGTGCAGGGTGGGAGCTTTTTTGCTAACATTTTGCGGGGTGGGTGCAACTGTCATCACTGACTGCTGGGGGGACGCCGGCATGCGTCGCTATTGTGCTCACTGAGGGCAGGGTGGGAACTGCTGTGCTCACATCTTTGCGGGGTGGTCGCTGCTTTGCTCACTTTTTGCGGGGAGGTCGCCGATGTGCTCACCGAGTGCAGGGTGATCGCCGCTGTCCTCACTGACTGCAGGGTGATCGCCGCTGTCCTCACTGACTGCAGGGTGATCGCCGCTGTCCTCACTGACTGCAGGGTGATCGCCGCTGTCCTCACTGAGTGCAGGGTGGGTGCTTCTGTGCTCACTGAGCGCGGGGTAGGCGTTGCTGTGCTCACTGAGTGTGGGGTGACGCCGATTGTGCTCACTGAGTTCATTGCTGCTGTGTCACGACGCCGCTGTGCTCACTGAGTGCGGGGTCGGTGCCGCTGTGCTCACTGAGTGCCGGATAGGCGCCACTGTGCTCACTGAGTGCGGGGTGGTCGTGGCTGTGCTTACTGAGTGCGGGATGAGCGCCGCTGTGCTCTCTGAGTGCTGGATGAGCGCCGCTGAGATCAATGATTGCTGGGTCAGTGCCGCTGTGCTCTCTGAGTGAGCGGTTGCCCCTGCTGTGATCACTTAGTGCGGGATGGTCACCGCTGTGCTCTTCGAGTGCAGGGTGGTCGCCGATGTGCTCATTGAGTGCAAGGTGAGCGCTACTATGATCACTTTTTGCGGGGTGGTTGCCGCTGTGCTCACCTAGTGTGGGGTGGGTGCCGCTGTGCTCACTGAGTGCAGGGTGGGCGCTGCAGTGCTCACTTTTTGTGGGGTGGTTGCCGCTGTGCTCGCCTAGTGTGGGGTGGGTGCCGCTGTGCTCACTGAGTGCGGGGTGGGCGCCGCTTTGCTCAATGAGTGCTAGTAGGCACTGTGGTGCGCACTGAGTGTAGGGTGGGCGCCGCTGTGCTCAATGAGTGCTGGTACCCAGCAAACAATTTAAGGTTGCCACAACATATCTGGAAAGTATTTGAAAGGATTGGAAACGTTTGTTTTATCGTATCAGATACGAATTTGTGTGTGGACTTAAATAGGTTTCCAAAACTTATAACCAAAACCTTCGTATCTAACACTAATTTGAGATGTTGTAGCAACTTTACAATCCTAACATGAATCATACATAATCCATTCATATACCAATATGAATCTCTTATGAAAGGTTTGAGCCTATAATCTGAACCCTTTTCACATCTTTGTGTTTAAAGTTAAATTTCTTGAAAATTAAATTATATTATTTTATATTATATTATTATTTTTATTATATTTTATTTTATATTATAGTATTATTTTCAATTTAAATATTAAAACCAATTTAAGGGAAAACAAAATCAAATAATTTATATTTCTTTTATTATTTACTAACAAATCAGCAAAATTACAAAAACATATGCCCTATATAAATATATATATTAGTATATTTTGGTAGCAGTCTTTCCTGTAGACATATATTATTAAATATGACCGAAAAAGTATGATTAATAATTCTAACACGAATTTTCTCAATCTTTCGTACATTTCTTTTCACTGCTGGTGGTAATTCAAAAATCAATTCTCCAAAATTCATTTTTATTTCTAGTCTGACGCGACACTTGAGTGCGTTTCGTAAAACTTATTACATTTTCAAAGACTTTAGTTTACACATACACAACTGAATAGAACTAGTATGGTGCTTCTGTAATTGCCTCGATTCTTTCCTCCTTCCGCAATAAATTCTGCTTGTAAGGTATCTTTGGTAGTGACCTTCTTTTGTGTCTCGAGGTCGAATATGTCGTCCAACAGAATTTCCAACTCCACTTTCCGGGCCATCTCACTCGGTCTGGACATAACGTGACAGTTTATGCCCAGATTTAGGAGAGTGACTTGGTCCTCAGTGAGGTTAATTCCTGCAAGGTTCAGGAAGCCATCTCTTGGTCGTGAAATTGCCATAGGTCCTCCATATAACATTGTTAGTTTCTTGATAATCCTTGTTTCAGTGCTGAGGTGATGTCGGTCTGTGAGGATGTCGAGGTGTTGTTCAATGCGGGTACGGATACTTTCGTCGATGTTGCTATTTCTCCACTCGTTCGTAGCATGAAGTAGTTGCGTTTTGTTGTCTTTGATTTCATTCTCTGCCTTGTATATCTGATCACGAATCAGATCCTGGCGATATTTAATCGTGAAGGCTTGATTCCTTGCTGCTGGGTCGTGCGTTTTAATATTAGTATATTTGGTAGCAGTCTTTCCTGTAGACATATATTATTAAATATGACCGAAAAAGTAAGATTAATAATTCTAACACGAATTTTCTCAATCTTTCGCACATTTCTTTTCACTGCTGGTGGTAATTCAAAAATCAATTATCCAAAATTCATTTTTATTTCTAGTCTGACGCGACACTTGAGCACGTTTCGTAAAACTTATTACATTTTCAAATACTTTAGCTTACACATACACAACTGAATAGTTCTACTTTAGTTTACACATACACAACTGAATAGAACTATTCAGTTGTGTATGTGTAAACTAAAGTATTTGAAAATGTAATAAGTTTTACGAAACGTGCTCAAGTGTCGCGTCAGACTAGAAATAAAAATGAATTTTGGAGAATTGATTTTTGAATTACCACCAGCAGTGAAAAGAAATGTACGAAAGATTGAGAAAATTCGTGTTAGAATTATTAATCTTACTTTTTCGGT